TAGACAGGTACTCGAATGCTCAACGTCCCGCTCAGGACCACTTGGTGAGCAACGATTTTTTTCAACAACATATTTATTTAAATTAGATTCTTACTAAAGCAAATCAAATGTTTCCTACAGCATTAGAGGTTAATGCCAAACACGTTTTAATTAAATTATTTTTTTTAAAAAGGAAAACCTCCATATTTCGATACCAAAGCCCAACATCGAAGGAGTCACCCATTCACTCCTGCAGGCAAGTCCACGAGGCATTGAAGCTAGAAAAGAGACTCGTTAAGAATGACTATGCAGGGTTCCCATTGAAATCGATGGAAAAACTCCCACTGATTGCAACAGGGGTAGGACTGGGCCCTTAAACAATTCCACAGATAAAGAATCCCAATCGCTGTTTAGCCCCACTGTTTATTGTATCAGGGGGTAGCCGTGTTAGTCTGTATCTACAAAAACAACAAGGAGTCTGGTGGCACCTTAAAGACTAACAGATTTATTTGGGCATAAGCTTTCGTGAGTAAAAACCTCACTTCTTCAGATGCATTGTTTCCCACTGTTTATTGTTCTTTCCTCTGGTTCCTTTTCTTTCTCTTCTCTCGTCTGACCTTTCCTTCCCCCTCCCCCTCTTCCTATTGGAGTGGGATACCACGAATCCCCCATACAATCGCTCTCACGCTGCTCCGTTCAGTGAGGCCAGGCAGACAGCATCGTTTTAGACAGGAGGCTCTCTGCAAGCTACCCCACGCCCCCACGCCGCTCCCAAGAACGCTGCCAGCAGCTCTCACCCCCACCCCCACTATATTTAATTCCTCCTTCTGGAGCCCTTTGTTTGCATAGGTGTCAGATTCTGCTGCAGGAGGCGCTGCATAAAATTGGCATATGCCCCCTCCCCGGGGTCAGCCTGATGAGCACCCCTCTTTCCAAAGGTGTCTGCTTTTCATTTGCAGCGGCTCTAAACGGCTGGTTAGTTATTAAAATAACCGAGTGCCAGGTAGTTGGCCGCTGAAGGGAAGCCGTGACCCCGTGCACACGGTGACTGTCGCTCGGCAGAGGTAATGGGCTTTGCTTGCTCGTTAGCGCCTTACGGCGGACGGCGCCCGGTGCGGGGCACGAGGCGACGTGCCGAAAAAGAGAAGGGACGAAGCCAAAGGTTCAGCTGGAAAGGTTGCCTGTGCCGTTGCCATGGCAACGCCATGACAACTTCGCCTCCCGGATCATACTGGCTGGGGCGTTTTCGGGTCAAGAGGAAGCAGCGGAGCGGCCTCGGTTGTGCTGTGCTGCCGCTTAGCTGGGGAACTGGCTGGCGGAGCGAGCAGATGACACCGATGCTTTGTTCTACCGTCTCCTCCTGTCGCACGCCAGCCCGGCCTGTTCGGTCACTCGGACAGCTCGCCTTGGAAGTGCCACGCTCAGGAGGACGGGGGGAGCGTGAGAGACGCTTGGAGAAGTGGCCGCGTCTTCTGGCCTCTTGCTCCCTGCGTGGGTGGGGGTGGGAAATGCACACGGCCATCTGTAGAGGAGGGGGCTAGCTTGTGCCAACATCGATAGCCCAGTCCCCCAGTGAGAAACATTCCTGCCTCTTGCGTTGGAAGGATAGCGGCGATATGTGGGCCCTGGAGGGTGGGAGTGCGAAACTCTTCAGCCCTGAGCCAGGAGGGCTGGGGAGAGGTTACCTCGTCTGGATGAGTGATCTGCTTCCAGGCATTAGGCCATGGTCCACTGGCTACTCAGTACTGGTAGGTTTCGAAGGCCCAGATCCTCAAAGGTATCGAAGTACCGAACCCCCATTGATTTCAGAGAGAGTTAAGAGCATAAATGCCTCCCAAGTCCAAGGTAGGGTGACCAGAGAGCAAGTGTGAAAAATCGGGACAGAAGGTGGGGGGTAAGAGGAGCCAATATAAGAAAAAGAGCCAAAAATCAGGACTGTCCCTATAAAATCGGGACTTCTGGTCACCCTAGTCCAAGGGGCCGCTGGGTATTTTCATAAACTGAACATAAAAACCAAACCTTCAAGCTCTGGGGAGTCACGCCCCCATCCGCCGGACTCTCCCCGAGCTGCGGTCTCGCAGCCAAGTTCCCCACCCACTATGCTCCTCTCTTCAGCCCTGCGTTTTCCCGGCACCGCCACCTGCTCTGGTCTGGTGGCCCCCTACCCAGCTTGTGCTAGCGAATGAGTCACAAAACACTCGGGCAGGCTGGACTCCATCCAGCAGGGGGCAGCAGTGCCCTAGACCAAAATATTCCAAAGCAGCTTCTGATTTTGGGGTCTCAGTTTTTTCCGGCTGCCTGACCTGAGCCCTGATTTTCAGGGGCCTGTGCACCCCCTGGCTCCCCCTGACTCCCATAAGAGTTCTGGGTGCTCCGCTCAAGAGGTCTCAGGCCAGGCCCCCACAAACTGTGGCACTCCACATCAGAGCCCCCCGTTTTGACAATTTTGGCCTCTGTCTCCACATGACGCCCACCCCACTGACAAGACATCACATGTCAGCTCCTCGCTTCCCATGGCCACTCTATGCCTGCTCCTATCTCTTGCCAGCCCAAACAGCTAGGGCTCGAGCCTGGGATCTGAACGAGGCTCTCCCGCTTGGGGGACACGATACACCCACCCGGCTGGAACTCCAGAATGGCATTTGACATGCAGCACGTCAAACTAGCCATTGCTCTGAGCTGTCACTGGCAGGGTCCCACGTGACCTCTGAGACACTCTGGAGCAAGGACGTCGTCCCTGGGTGCATCAGAGTCGCTCTTGAGAAATGCATGGAACACAGATGGGAAAACATCTGCCTGTCTCTATGTGCATCAAGAAAAATAATACATAGCAACAGCTAGGACGACTGTGCCTGTTGGGCACGTCCAATTGAATCCATAGGAAAGACAACTCAGCGGCCAGTCAGCCAATGACAATGCACACGGTGCTGAGGGAGAGTGAGGCCAACGGAAGCGCTTGTCGTGAAGTCTCCCTTTGCCCGGGAGAGTTGTATGGGGCAAAGGTGCTTAAAAGCTCCTTGGGAAGTAGGTGCCAGGGCCCACATTGGCCAACTGTGTTGCATTTCTCAAGCTTACCATCCACCCAAACAGGGCTGGCCAAGTCACAGCACTATGCCACAAGCACAGGCGCTGAGGACCATGCCCCTTCCCCAGTGCAAATACCCCTCTTGCCCAGTGAAGGTGCTCTCCACCCTGCAGAACCTCAGCCACCCTCTTCTCCAACTTCCTCTCCAATACAGGTCCCCCCACATCCAGATTCCGATGTTGTTTGGCAGTTGGATTTGCACAGAGCTCTGAGCCAGTCCTCCTTGTTCTCTTGAAGCCACAGGTTTGCCAAGTTCATGAAGTAACTTTTCTCTCCTTGTTGCTAGCAGGGCTGGGATTTCCGGCACCGCATCCCCTGCATCCCCATGTCTGCAGAGCCCAAATCAAATCCCTTCCAGGAGACAACAGAGTAGCACTCTACAAGGCATCGCTCTGAATAAATCAGAGCTGGGGAGTGGTGTGCGCCCTGCTTGGCCTGTTCCCGATGATCGCTTCTGGCAGCAAATTTATTTTAAACGCGGCCTTTAAATATAAATGGCACCATGAGAGGGCTGCCCGGGGACAGCAGGGTTTCATCAGTGGGCGAGGTGGGGAGGGCTGGCAGCAGGCTCTGCTGAAAGGGACCTGGTGCGTATCCAC